AATATCCAAATTACTATTAATATCAGCGAGTTCGATTCTCTGTTATTTATACGAGTTTACCATTTGTATACGGTTGGTGCGTCCTTTTCTTCATTGGAGAATAAATAAATAGAGGTCGTTCATTAACAGCCAATATAGAACCTCTCACAGAAGAAATAGGTTTTTATGTTGAGAAATGCAAAAGAACAGAAGATGTTGACACGCCTATCCGAATTAGGCGCAATGTCTTTATATGATTTGGGCGATTGAAATTTGATTGTTAATTATCCACAGCGCAGGAGAACATTGAATATGAGCCGTATACAATGCCTCGTAAAAATATCAATAAAGTAAGTGATACGAACCGTAAAGGAAACGTCATGGGGGGCCGTTCGGGATGCTTCAACCGGATCCTGTCGTAGAGTTTTGCCATGGTTGATTATGTTTGAATTCTCACACAATCGTTCCGCTGCGTTTATAATATATGAATGTCTGCTTCACGTCCACAAACTATTTTTTCGAGCACTCAAAAATACAAAGAGTTGATGTGGTTATTTATACTCTTGAAAACAAAAGACACGATGTTTCCTTCGTCGTTCTGTTTGTGCGCAGAAATCATAATAAACCTTGCATGATAACGTTTCTTATTTTCTGCTGATAGAGTAACAGATTAATTCGCGAAAGGACAATTTTGTACATCTAATATTGTTACATTTATTAGATTGTGTTCAAGAGGTACGTAAATAACAAGCAGAGCAACCATTTTGGTTTCATTCAGGTATGTCTCAGTGTAGAAATATGTCGTTATATCACATTATACTATTTCGTGTTCAAAATAATTTCAACAAACACTTCTGAATATCTGTGATGTGCACAGTTAATATAACCCCATTTTATACTTTTTGTTATAAGATTTAAGATTTTCATATCTCCTGAGACGATGCTTCGTTTCTCGAGTCGAATAGGTCGGCAGCGTTTTACACGTGTTCCCAACAAGAAAAAAGAGATTATTTATTCTTTTCGTCAGTCGACACATTTCGTTTAGGTGTAATGACGTGTCAACAAACCTCCTCTGTTTTCTTTTTACATTATCTATTGGGCAAGCTAGGCGTGCGACAAAGATTACCTAAAAAAAGATGGATTTTATCCCAAGTCCGTCTTTGTATGGAGACGATAATGTGAAAGAATAGATAGCGCCACTTTTCTACCCTAATTCGGTAGGAATTTCTGAGACAATGGAAAAAATCATCATTTATCAATATGGGTGAGGATTATTGTGTTTAAATTGGAGATTCCTAATACGCTTATACTCATGAAACTAGTATTACTAATCCAATGTACCTTCTATTTTTCAGATATAATTATTATCATTCAGACGACTTCAATTGTATATAAAGTATTTGAAACTATGTCTGACTATTATGAAATGAAAGCTAACACTGCGCAGCGATATGAAGCTGTGCATCGTCGAAGTAGAAGAAGCTCTACTCGTGAAGCTGAGAACAAAATTATTCACTGCCCACATGGGTCAGATTCTGACTGCGAATGTGTGCAGAATTCAGATATAGATAAAGATCGTCTACTGACCGATAAACAAGAAAAAATAGCAGCAGCGTCCCTTATACGAAGTGAAATGGAAAAACTTAAAGTAATTGACAGGCCACGATATAAACTGCTTACCAAGATTATCAAAAGTTCTGAAAAGGAGAAGGATAAATACATTGGACTTTATGAAGAAGAATATGGCTCTCTTCTATCCAAAAACAGATTAGAATTCATCAACTCTGATCAATATAGAGGTAAGTACATATACCTTTCCATACGTTTCGTCACTTCAAATTTTGTGCTTTGCAAAAAAATTCTTTGTGGCAAACGTGTACATCTGCATTTTATTTTAGATTCCAAACAGATGACAATGAATGGTACAGTAACGTGGTTTCATCCTCGGAAAGGCTTTGGCTTTATCACTCCAGATAACGGTGGCGAGGATGTTTTTGTACACTTTTCTGATATCCAAGTCAGCGGATTTAAAACCTTGAGTGAAGGACAAAAGGTTTCCTTCGACAAAAAGAATGGCCTCAAAGGCCCATTTGCAGCAAATGTCCATCCTGAATAAGCGTCATGTTGGTCATAATTACCATACAGTACTACAAACGAACTACACATTCATTTATTTTTGCACTGTAATCACTGAGTTTCTTTCTTCACTTGTACTTCTCGACGTACAATCGACTGTGGTATTCAATCGTAGTTTTATTGAATCTTTTCCGGAGACAAATATAAATATGCCAAAGGAAACACGTTTATTTAAAGATAAAGAGAGCGTGTTTTTCCGTAATAAGCCATAGTCATGTCCATAAAACAGACGTGATGATTGTCAAATAAGGTGGATTCTGATAAAACATTGATTTAATTAGCTGTCAGCTAGCTATTAACTGAAATCACATACAGTATAATGAAAGCGTCGCAATTGTATCTCATGCTAATTATCAAGCTGATGAAATTGTTCATCGGAGAAGGTAATATATATTGGATGAGTTACTGGAAAGAAGAAATACATGCCGACTGTTTCTTCATCGATCTGCATTATTTTTGTCATCAAATTAATCAAATCAGCCATCACAAAACACTATGCACACATGGTAAATTGTGGAGTTTCGAAAAGCTCAAGGCATACAAAATCACAACTGAGAACTTGATCGATTGGGCGATTCCATTTGATCTAATCGGACAATATGCTGATTATTCGAACAACGATGGAAATACTACACTAGCCGGGCTCATGATATGCAACTGTACGACTAATTGGAAAGGTAGAGAGTGCGATTACAGCGTTCCACAGCGATTTGCGAATCCAGGTAACCTACTTAGCAAGCAATATAAAGCCACTGGTCAGAATATGAATGAAACTCTAACAAAATTCATCGATGGTATCGTGTGCACCAATGCGCATCTCTTTCTCGAGTGGCGACATATCTGTGATGGTGTAACCCAATGTTCCAACGGCGCCGACGAATACCAATGTGATTTACTAGAATTTCACGAATGCGAAAAAGATGAATTCCAATGTCGCAATGGAATGTGTGTATCGATCGACTTTGTATTTGACGCCATGCCAGATTGTATGGACTCGAGTGATGAACAGTCGACAGAAGAAATGCGTACTTCTTACTACAGCTGCTCAGGAAAAGCATCAGTTAATTGTGATAATCGACTGTGTCGAAAAGATGAATTTTCTTGTGGAAATGGCGAGTGTATTCCTTGGACATCTATTGTACAAGATAATAAAGGCTGTAGTAATCGTCGTCAAGCAGCCTATATTTGTGACACAATGGATTATAAAAAAGAGTTATCTGACGAACTCTTTGGAATTTGTTCAGAAACAATGAGGAAACTTTCGCTATTGACAAATACGTCTAGTTGTTTGCAAAGTCTTGGCCATTTACTTCGCAATCGTTTTGATATAAAATTACGACAACAAGCCTTTGCGAATATCAAGGAACGTTGTGAGCAACTTATTATCTATTCCGACAAAAATGCATACTTTCCAGGTCTGCATGTTGTCTACAATCGTTCTGACATCGAAGCATTCTACGACCAACCGAAGAATTTACAAAAGCGGATTTCAAGAGCACCACAGCTGTACTATTTCAGTGGTGAAATCAAATGCAATGGCGTTCAAATAAATATTTCTGACAAGTTTTGGTTCACATACGAACAACGACAACAGTTTACTATTTACCCATTTTTCCCACTATATCATCTATTATGTCAGAAATTTGGAAATCAATTTTTGCAAGATTCTCATGTGAACAGTTCTCTACCATCATCACCAGCATATTATCAATGTAAAAACACTTCCGACCGATTGTCATTACGTCGTGTCAATGATGGATTTATCGATTGTCTCCATGGTGACGATGAAAGAAATCCGTATTATTCGCCCAATGAGCTATTTCGATACCAGTGTCAAACTGTTACATTCCCATTGCAGTACGTTAGTTACTCGAAATTAGGCGATGGTATTGACGATTGCATTGATGGAAGTGATGAACTATCTAGACAACTACATTGGTCACATTTCAAATGTGATTTAAATGACAGATACGAGTGTTGGGTGTTTCAAGGTGACCGATTCAATGATTATCGTATTCAAAATGTTCGACTTCACTTTCATCGTTATTGTGATACAATGTGGGACATGATGGACGGCAACGATGAGAAGAACTGTTCCAAATGGGTTTGCCATGTGGATTCGATCAGATGTAATGGAACAGGACAGTGCATCGATCGTGAATACATTTGTGATGGTGATTTCGATTGCGACGATGGTGAGGATGAAATAGGTTGCCGTCCACCACGTGAACTATGGAGTCTTGAATCAATATGTGATAAGAAAATCGAATATTTTTGCATCACTAGTCAGTATGTCAAGAATCAGAATACGTCACGGCCATGTATCTTTTGGAGTCAAGTAGGTGATGGGCACATCGATTGTATGGGAGCTCGCGATGAACGCAATGTGTTATCGTGTCCAGTTGACCATCGAATGATTGGTGACCGATTTCTATGCGATAAGCAAACAAAATGCATCGATTATCTGCTGATTTGCAACGGAATCAAGGATTGTGTAGATGGAACAGATGAATCAATATGTTACTGGAATATCAGTAATTGTTTGCCCGGGGCTTTTCCTTGCGCGGATGAATCAGGATGTAAAAGCACTCGATGTAAAACAAGTCTGGCATGCTATGATAAATCTCACCGATTTTGGTGTCCAAATCCAAACAATGGTAATGCAGTATATCGCTCACAAAAATATAGGACAATTTTCGATGATAAAAGTAGGTGTTATGATCAATCTTACTCGCAAGCAAAATATATAATTGCACCGCGTTCTACAGGTCATTATATCGGGAATCGCATCGCAGAGTCCCCCATTTACTACGTGTACTGTAATAAAGGGTTTTATCTACAAGGAGATCGTAGGTCAGACTTCTCATGCTTTTGCCCTCCCAGTGTGTATGGTGATCGCTGTCAATACGACAGCCGACGAGTCACCATTCGCATTCGTTTCGACCGATGGCATCGACCTGATATTCCAATCGTTCTTGACGTTCTGTTCATACTTCTACTAAACGATAGCCAAATCGTAGATCATCACGTTCTCACTGATGAAAACAAAGAGTATCCATCGAAGAATGATATTTATTTAGTTTATCCTCGCCCAAAACCGCCAGGTATTTATACACTACGAATAGAGACCTATCATTCTGCCGATTTTCTACATTTCTGGGAATATCCAATTAGTCCGCTGGACTTCTTACCCGTATTTCGTATCGCAAAAGTGCTTCGATTTCCTGACCGCTCACTTCCATGGTATTGTTCGTATAACCGCTGTGAGAATAACGGGACCTGTTATCAAGCAGAAGGGAACCGATTTCTTTGCATTTGTCCACGCTCTTGGAAGGGCAAATTTTGTGACATCCAGATGAATCGAACTGGTTGTGCATCGAATTCTCTCGCACGAGCTGAAAATGTTTGTGTCTGTCCACATGGTTATATGCAACCTCACTGTTTCGTACAGAATCACAAATGCCGACGCGTCATATGCAGGTCGAACGAAACTTGTGTTCCACGTTCTGATCTTCCTGCCTATAGGCACACGTGTATTTGCAATGTGACTAACTGTAAACCCGATCGACCGGTTATTGTATTAAATCGTCAGGAACCAAATGAATTACCATTTCTTGTACAATTGCTTCAGTTGACAGGTAATTATCCTACTATCCGTCATCAAATCATCATTCAGCCATTTACATCATTTCCATGGATCAAAACCATCAAAACTCGAGATAAGCGCGATTATGTTGGATCCCTACCAGAGATTGGCTTACTCTATTCATTTGAATCTTATGCAGATTCAGTACGGAATACTTTATATTTGCTTTTCATCAATTGCACGAATGACATACGAAACTTTACAGTCGATTTGGATCTACAAGCACAAAAATGTCATGAATTTTCTACGGAAGAGCAGCATTTTGTCGCAGTATTCCCAGAATTTTGCCATAATTTTACTTACGGCGCTTGTTTTGCATATGACGGTTACTTATGCTATTGTAATTATTCAAATGGCAATCAGAGCAACTGCCTATCGTACCAACGAAGATACATAACTTGTGATTATTGTCAGAACCAAGGACACTGTGTTCAGGGTGATCTGACAAATAAAACTGACTTCGTTTGTGTATGTCCGAAATGTGTCACAGGAGTCCTATGCCAATTTTCACTGAGTCGTTTCTCAATTTCACTGGAATTTTTATTCGAAAAGAACGATTGGAATCGTGGCCATTTCATAGCACCAGTCATTCTATTTATTCTCGGCATGATCCTTAACTCTTTGTCGCTTATCACTTTCACACATAAGAAACTTCGCACAAGCGGAGTGGGCGTTAAACTTCAAGCAACTTCTTTATGCGGTCTTCTGGTGGTAATATTATTACTTGCAAGAATAACTTATCTCTACATGGTACGAAAGATCATCATGCTGCACCGAATAAGTATCGTAATGTGCAAAGCTCTGCCCATGCTGATGTATACTTTCTATTATACTACTCTATGGTTAATGACGACGGTGACAGTGGAAAGAGCATTGGCTACATTACAATCCTCCCTATGGTCGCGACTACAAGACTTCAAAATATCCATTTCTTTGGTGTTGCTAATTATTTTCATTGTTTCAAGTTCGAATTACATATTCATCAGCCAGTACGAGCTGGTCAATCACCCCGATTACATCTTTCCCTGGTGTATACGTGAAATTCCGCTCAATCAACAACTGTTCACACACATACTGACTCTTTTTCACCAAATAATACCATTTCTAATCAATATCATAGCTGCATTGATTATCATTGTAATGATCACTCGATCGAAGATGCATGCTTATCGGAAAACTAAACGTAGTGCTCTGAGGGATCAAACACGAAAGCGACTTGATCTCCTTCTGAGTCCAATAGTTTGTTTCCTAGCACAATTACCTGAGATAATAATTCTTTTCTTGAATGCCTGTGACTATGATACTAGCAATTGGTTCTCACAAGTTAATCTATGTATTTACTATGTCTCATTCTTTCCGCAAATGAGTATTTTCTTTTTATACATCACACCGTCAAAGCAGTACCACGATATATTTACCAAGGAAACTTTATTGGGCCAAGGCATAACTTACATGTTACACTCGTCGATTGTTCTTTCCAGACAGACAAATACGTGACTACGGAGTATGAATGTGTGTGTATTCTTTTCACTTCTAGATTAAAGAAAGATTTTAATATTGAAAACTAATTTTCTGCATAGAACAAAATCATGAACTTTGTGAATTGTTTTCTTCTGTAATTTTTGACGATCTTTCAGCGTAACAGTTTCACAAAAGTATTCGCATATCTTCATAGTATAAGCATCGTTTGGACGTTTTTATGTCAAATTTGGTTTGAAGTGTTAGTCGAACGACTACATATAGACTACGTTCACAATCGATCAATAATGTAGTACATTGTTAGTCTTTTATTCAACAGAAAAAACACTCAATCTGTTGCCAGTTTATTGATACTTTTAGCCATGTCCACACTCTCAAGCTGCTCTTGTTTGCGGAGTCATTATTGGCAAGTTGATGTCATTTGCACTATCAAACTGTGTTAGTTTAATTTTCAAACTTCCACCGGCAATTCGACCTGAATTAGCTAGTCGAGCAACAACGTCAACGACATGTGTACCTGCAGATAAATAAATCCAGTCTATTTTCGAACACGGAAATGCTGCTCCAGGCGTATTTGCATTACTATGCAGAGAAGTCCCATCCACGAGAGTATCATTTGCCATGTTAGGCACGAGAGTATTGCCCATAATTAAGTTTCCATCAACTCGTATACGTAAAAACAACCAGCTCTGTTGGCTGTCAATGCGACATTCGCCATGAAAGTTAATTTCGTATAGCATTGGGGTTTGATGATGAAACGATAAGACAAGACCGGGTACTTGAACAAATATGCGATTTGATCCGTCGGTGTACTCAAAATGTGACGGATTTTGCAATTTTATATAATACTTAGGTGGATAATAGTGGGTCAGAATTCCATCGCTACTTTTTGTATTGACATAAGTAATCGGCTCATTCGTCAGCACAGAACCAATGCAGACGATGAGAATAATATTCGAAAACGAATTCATTTTTTCAAATCTAGAAAGAAATATTTTGTTCTGAGAAACGTACGACTATTTATTTCTTGTCTATAGATCGATGACTTAGTTATGATATAAAATATTAAGATTGTACAAATACTAGATATATGCTGATTTGGTGTGTCGTTAATCATTTTATCAAAATCTTGATCATCAATTGCTAATGCATTAAGTTAAACTTTATCAAATATAGTTAAAGGATTAGCTCGATCATTGTTTTCTCAAATGATGAAAAATAAATCGCGACAAACAGAGATTTTCTTTGTTCTATATAAAATAAAGATGAAGATTATGCGTATTTGATACAAATCAAATAAAATCCATACTATTCAAAATTAGAAGTAAATCTTCGTCTGAAAGAAAAATATGTACTTTTCACGCTATGTACTGTTTGCGGATCAACTTCTTGACAATCCGAAAAGTGGTGTATTGTTCGTCTTCGGGAAAAAAGCTGTTGGTGATAATATAATTAGTGGCAATAATTGTTTTCGCGTCACGTTCGAATGTTAATATTTTCAAAGTTTATTCTGAAGCAGAGAAAGAAAAATTTTTAATAAGTTTTCTACATTGTTCTAAAGCATTTAGACTTAAAACAACTTATCAAATGTTCCTCATACAGTTCATTTATATTTTAACTATCTTCTCTTCTTCTTTTGTTCTTGACATTCCTCAATAAGAAACTTGTTTTGGAATGGGAACATTTCTACTCATTTCATTGTTTTCCACGTCGGACAAAATATTTTTTAGAATTTCATATTTCGTTGCTCTAGGTGTTAAAGTACATTGGAATAATAATGAATTTCAATGACGATTCACAAGTATCTTTAGATCGGTATACCTCCGGTAGATGTCAATAATGATCATCTGTCAGATAATCTCGTCAGCAATTGTTTTGATCATAATATCACTACATTATACTCGGGGCAAGGAAACATTACACTTGCGGATCAACAAGCAAATTTTCGACAAATCCGAATACCATATGTCATTCGTTAGTGGTAACTTTAATGGTGGTCATATCTTGGATATTGTTATAATTAGTTTATAATTACGACACGAAACGTTCGCAGGTAAAATCATCTTTTCAACCCAATTCAGTTAAACTAATGCCAGCATCGTACCGAACGTAAGTTGTTTGATGTTCCTTGGAAAATTCTCAAGATTTTCTTCTGAATAACACAAGGTCTTTCTTCAATTCTAGTGTCTCTCGTTAACGTATATCTTGATCTGCACAATGTCCAACAGACTTGCTTGATTCGATTCCTGACTTCTCTACTGGGCATTTTTGCGACAAGCAACCATGTTTAGAAATCTCAACGCTATTAACACATGCCGCGGCATTCTTCTCAGTCAATATGACGGTTAACACTCTGAATAAAAGTTTATTTATTGAAACCTGGTAAGAATACATTTCATGATCATCTTATTTCGACGAATCTTGCGCCTGATTGTACTTTCTTCAACAGAGAAACAAACGCTACTTTAGATGCTTTCCGGAAGTCATTACCCAATGATTTCTTGTACGCTTCTGAAATGTTTCGTCGCTCCGTGCAAAGTAACGGTTTCACGTCGATCGACTTTGCAACTATAATTGTGAATTTTCCATTACGGAAACACAATACTTGAATACTACCTATATAAGAGCGTAACAGTTTGGAGATTCTACTAGCGCTGATTGGTTGCTTATTCGTAGAATCATTTCTCCAATCAACAATCGCAAATCCCTATGATAAGGTCTGTTTTAGTCAAATCTCGTCTTACCTAAACATGTACTCCACTCATCCGAAAGGATTTAACGAACTTTGAACCTGCGCAGGTATGACCATTTGCAAAAGAAACGAAAAAAAAAGAGATTGTGTTTTGAGGAAGGATCAACGCCAAACACAAACTGTTGAAGTGAGACATTTGCGAGATGGAAAGCTCGATCAAGTTTCGCAGGTAGGTAATCAAGTCTATTTGTATGCTAAATATCATTGCTGTTTAGATGAACATGTCTGACCAGAGATCTTCAATGACTCAAGAAAGCGAGCAGAAAGCAGTGTCATAACTGATATTGATCACTGACAAAGCTGCTGAAAGTTTGGGAGAATAAAAGCAAGAGGACATACATCATCAGTTACTCATTTATTTTTCGTTTATTTAACTAAGCAGATGTTTTTCATTATAATTACGCAATTTCAATTCTCTACAAATATAACGTCGCAGGTTCTTTTCATAGCATTGTGCAATTTTGATGAGTCATCGCTTTAGTTTTCTGTATATAAGGACTTCATTTAGCTGACAAATGAGCGAGATTGTCAGTATACGTAAATTCTTCTTATTTCCAAAATCCAAATGGCACATACTGCACTTGACGATGAAGAAATCATCGAATATTTCGATACACCGGGTATATCGCCAGTTTTGTCCGATTCTTCTTTTTCTATGACGTTATGTGCATAGATGAGCTCGACCGGAAAGTCAAAACTCTGGCAGACTTTATTCGAAACGCCAAACATTTTATAGTGTATACTGGAGCAGGTAAATGACATCTACTCATTCGAAGACACAGCACCACTTTAACATGAATATGAAAACTATAGGGATCTCGACAGCAGCTGGTATTAATGATTTTCGTGGTCCTACAGGTGTTTGGACATCACGAGCAAAAGGAGTTGCACCACCACCACGAACTGTTCACCATCCCGAGCCAACATTGACGCATATGTCTTTTGTCGAATTGATGCGAAACGGATATTTAAAATTCTTAGTTTCTCAAAACTGCGATGGTCTCCATTTGAAAAGTGGAATACCAACAAACAAAATCGCCGAACTTCATGGAAATTGCAATTGTGAAGCTTGTGCAAAATGTGGAAAAGTTTACTATAGGCAAACACGTGTTAATTCAGTTACGGACAAAACTCGACTAACTGGAAATATGTGTACAACACCAGATTGCAATGGGCGTTTACGCAAGACAACTGTTGCATTTTCTCAATCGATGCCTAATGTTTGCATCGATCGAGCAACTGAAGAGTCGAAAAAATGTGATTTAAGTTTATGTATGGGAACATCGATGCGAGTTTCACCTGCATGTGAGCTTCCATCGATGAAATCGAAGTCTAGAAACAAGAAGATGGTTATCGTTAGTGAGTGAAATTTCTTTTCCTTCGTCTATTCTAATTACCATTCGCCTTTCGAACAAAGATTTACAAAAAACACCTTACGATGATCAATGTGCATTGCGAATATTTGCACGATGCGACGACGTCATGAAAATGGTCATGAAAGAACTGGATTTGGTTATTCCACCTTATACCGATTTACAGTTATGGTCGAATGCTGAGTGGTTGGCAGATTTCGAACGTAACTGGCCTTTTCGGTAAGTAATGAGATCAGAAAGGAAAAGGGTATCGTTATAAAGTGATGTTATTTCAGAACTGCCGGTGAAACAGACTGGTTTTCAGGAGATATTTAAATCAATGTCAGCATATGTGACATGTTAAGGTTCTTCGGATAATAAAGATTCAATGGTTTTATTTTCACATGAGAGAAAAGCGAATGACACTCTAAAGAATGGTTTAAGTTCGAAATATGGAAGCAAAGTCATTAAATGTTGAAGTTTATCTTTTCATGATCTTTTTCACTCGTTGTTTGTGTCGTATTCGTGCTTTAAGTTTTGCTGGATTGAATGTATTCGATAATTTTGTAAATATCGCAAAAGTCGCTAAAGCTTGTACCGGCATCATAGCAGCCAAGAAAACAGCGTTCATGATGGCAATTGGCTGAAGACAAATGTTTTCCTACGAGGAAATTTGTGTGAAAAACTAGATGCATAAGAAATGACTTACGATATCTTTTGGATATAGAATTGCGACAGTTGATTCAGTCGTCAAAGCAGGCGAAGTCGGTGTAGGTGTGGTCGGAGCTAAGCGAAGAGATATTTTGTACATGAAAATTGAAAACAATGTGTCCTACCAGGTGTTGTGGATGGTGTAGTTGTTAAAGTTGTTGATGTTGTGGTGGGTGGAATTGTAGTTGTTATGACAATTCCGGTGGTTGTTAGCTAGTCAAAGTGTTGTCATGAGTATATATATGAGTAGAATCGGGAAGTAATTTTACTAATGTATTGATGCTTGTTGTCGACGTTGGCTTTGTGGTGACCGTGACAGTTGTAAATGGTGTTGTGGTTGTTGTTGTTGTGGACGAAAGTGCTGGATTCCAAATGTTAAAAATCCAAAATGTGGGATCAGTGATGGGTGCAGATTCAGGACCTTGAATGAAAGTCAGTTTTCTTCTTGGCTCTCTCTGTCTCTCTCATATTCTGTTTGTTGTCACTTACCACAAAACTCAGTACCACTTGCCACACCTAAATATGATATGCAATGCAAAGTAGAAAAGGGAAAAAGAAGACGTACCACTGTCCATGTTAACATAGTAGAAAGCACCAGCCTCCCATGGTGCAACAGGGAAACGAATGACAATAGTGTAACCAGTATATGTCACTTCTGGTTCCCATCCACAGTCATATTTTTGAACAAGAGTGCCATTAGCATAGTAAAAGTAGATATATGTGCCATTACGAGTTGGACGGTTGACGGAGATTGATGCTACGATGACAAGAAAGAAGATGATCTGTCATTCTCTCGCTACGCGAAGAATAAACCTTACTTTGAATGGAGAAAGTGGTCTGATTTTGGAAGACAGTACCAATAGGTGAAGCTGAACCTTGAACCAGTTTTGGTCGAATGACATCAGGTGATTTGAAACCAACCAAAAAGGTGATGCACCATTGATTTGTCTGAATGTTTGTGTTATCAACAGCTCCAAAACAGACGGCTTGTGGTCCGTATTGATCAGAAACAGGGATCCAGCTGAGAATGACATTATAGATACCTACAGTTGACATCGGAAATGAGACAAATTCGAGATAAACGAAATTTACTGACCTGTACTCGGATTCAAAATAGCGCTTTTTGTCATACCAGCAGGTACGCTAGAAACGTATTCGGTTATAGTCTTTCCCGTACAGTACACCTGAATGACGACAACTTCTGTGACATTGTCACCAACCAATACACCGATGCATGCTTTAGAAAGAAAGCAAAGTGAGATCGAAAGATTCGTTAATTACAAATTCGACTTTACCTCGATTGGGTCGATTACCAATAATGGCTGGTGGTGTTGTACACCCACCAGGATTAGCATAACCATAGAAAAGAAACTGAAGAGGGACTGAACTCATTGGTGTGTTCGCTGTCACTGCTGCAGCATTATAAAAGTCTTCAATTTGTAGTGCTGCTGCAACATACCAACCAGCAGTGTACAAGGTGAATACAATCGTACAATTTTCTCCAATGAGATTAGCACCAGTTATACCACTGCAGACATCTGCACATTCATCATATTGAGTAATTGCAGTCGTTGCTTTAATTGACCATCGACATTTTAGCGTATCAGTACCATCGAAATCAGACATTTGAACAACATGAACATGCTGTATGTTGATCTCTTTGTATAAAATAGGTAGACTGACAGCGATAGGACTAGTGTTCAAATAGCCATCCGGTCTAACTATAGTACTAATTCGAGCAACAACCGACCAACTTCCATCATGTCCAATGACAAGATAGGAGAACCAAGCACCTCCAGTGAAACCAAGACTGAAGGAGACATTCAATGGTATATTGTATGTTTGATAATATTCACCCGAAGCAACATCCAGAGGCGCACTGAAATCAGTGCAGTATGTTGATATCGTCATGCCAGGCCAAGAAGGACAGTAACTACCAGACACACAAGTCAACGTACCTCCACCGATCGTAGGAGATTTTGCAGCAATGGTAGCAGGCGAACATACCGGACTTGATGAACTACGACGCCATGACCATCGTTCTCGTACGATAACAGGAACTGTACTGCCTGATGGCGTGTTATTGAATGGACGGCTAGAACAGATATCTCTAGTATAAAACTATAGATAAGAATGTAGATAACTTACTATGTTATTGTTCCACCACGAAAATGAGACGAATCGATTATTGAAATGTATGGAAATAAACAGATGAAAAGAAATTTCACAATTGTCATCTGCAGCATCAAGATCGAGAAAAATAAAATGAAATGTCACTCGCACTAATCGTTTGCTTTATATACCGGTTTTCTTAATCAAACAGAAAATAGAGTACAATGTTTGGTCAAACTTTTCTGTTAAAAAGACATCTTTTGCGCCTGTAAAATGAAAGTTCTCAATAATGTTTTCACTCGAACTAATCGACTGTGTACACAGAGAAAAGCACACTTTAACATAGCGACGAACGAATTTGTCTTGTTGAGAGCAGAAGACTAGTATGTAAGTAGCACAAGCGAGTGCATTTAGAAAGAAAACAAAATTCATCTTCTTCTGTTATTTTCATCATCACAACCACTTCTCATTCCAGTTTTGTTGAGTAGGAGAAGAATAAGTCAGGAGTGCCTAGAAACATTTGCAACAATTGACTATTTTCGATGCAAGAAAAAAAACAATATCTTCAAAAACATTTACAAAAACGTTGCAAGACGAAAGAAAAAATCACTTTAAATTCTTGCTACCGAATTGTTATTGAAAACTATGCGAAGGATCAAATAATCACTAAGTCTGCGTTGTTCTTGTTGGAATTTATAGCCCGAGGAATTCAATTAAATCAGTAATCGACGTGTGGGTGAGAGTATGGTCAGAAAGATTGTTTAATTTTTATTTTGTAATCGATGTTTTAGACTAGAAGACCGATCTCATTTCAAATTACATTCGCATGAAAGTGTTGTTTTATTCAGCTCAGTTTTCGCTATCTAAAAGTATTCTTGTATCGAATGAATACCCAGTTATAAACCATCTCGTGATGATTTATCATTCAAAACAGAACAATACAACAGAAACACCGAAGATTTATTAGAAAAAAGAAACGAAACAAAATCTAAAATTCTTCAGCAGTGATGATATGATGATTTCCAAGTTCAGCTGGAACGAATGAATTAGATGAATGATGTTATTTCTAACGAGATATCTATCTAAGGTAGAGAATTTATCCATTATCACTCATCTCACACTACATCATCAGTTTCATTACCTGATTTAACAAAAGATCTGTTCTTCGAACATCCATCTTTAATATTTTTTTATAAGCCTGCGGAGAAGACCGTTTTTTCGTCTACCAGACTTAACCTTAATAAAGCAAAGCTCAGTGTTGCAATCAAAATTCAACCAGTTGATTTCCAAATTTGCAAAACCATTCGCTTCAAGGTTATATTAATAAATTCTACAAATTCCTTATATTCCAGTACCGAAATAAGCACCATTCAGAGTTGTATCAGACGAGTTGTATTATCTGAATAATATTGTTCCTCCACAATACTCGATATAAATGCTATGCTATGAATTGTGTCAAATCCAACTGCGTATAGGAAATGCACGTGATATTTCATGAATGATTTCTATAGAATAGAGACGTCATATTGTTTAGAATCATAATACCAGACAATTGGTATTCTCCATAATTTCAGTGAGTTTCAATCTGAGAACACAATTTTCTTTCCAAACTCGGTACTATAATCCAAAAGATCTCGTATGGTAAACGATATGGCTTTTATACACCCGACTTGCTCCGGGATAAGAAAATATTAATTTAGAAGTTTTTTTCATACCCCACAACGTTAATTAACTTGCATTTTCTGTTTAATAGAAGATAATCGTATCCCTACGATGTAATCCTCAAGCATAGATATTCAATTAACGTCAACAACTCTTGACATGTTAAAACAGGAGGCTTGCCTTTTTCTTCATTTTCTTTAGAAACGTATAGCTTCGTAAAAATTCAAACGTCAAGCATGTCAGCATCTTCGATTTCATTTTATATGTATCTATCTCAACAAATTACAATCTATTCATGTATTCCAACTTTTATACTTGGTGTTCTCGGTGGATTCTTAAGCCTCATCGTATTTTTAAGTCTTCGAACATTTCGAGAAAGTTCCTGTGCCTTCTATTTGATAGTTATGTCATTGGCTAATCTCATTCATTTACTCGTGTGGTTATCCGGTTATATTATAATAAATGGATTTGGATATGATTGGAGTGTTAATTCCCCATTCTTGTGCAAAGGTCGATTTTATTTGTTTCAATTATGCTTATTAGTGTCATATACATCGATCTGTTTTGCCATGATTGATCAGTTTCTGAGCACTTCTTCGAATCCTACATTACATCGATTGTGTAATATCAAATTAGCTCGATATGCAGCCATAACATCTGTAATACTTTCACTTCTTCATGGAATTCCGTTTGCACTCTATTCGAATGTAATCTCCCTATCACTTGATTCGAGTCAATTAATCTGTGTGCTTACGAGCAGGATTGTCGGCATTTACTTCAATTTTGGTTTTATAATAGTACTTATAGGTGTTTTACCGTTATCAATTATGATTGTCTTTGGTTTATTGACATATTATAATATAAAAAACTTAGCTTATCGAACAGTTCCACTAGTCCGACGTGAGCTGGATAAACAATTAACACGGATGGTTCTTGTTCAAGTTATTTTCAATTCGATTGTTCTATTACCATATGTAATAGTATTTCTTACCATGATTTATTTGCCAAGTAATAATTTCAATTTCTTTCTTTTGATTTTATGTATTAATCTACATACTGTTGCATTGGCAGTGAGTAGAATAATTACTTGTTGAAATGATTTCTGATTATTCTTTTTTATAGAGTCCTTTCTACATATACGTTTGTGTATCGAAACGGTTTCGTCAACAATTCAAACATGTCATTCGTACACTACATACCAATCGATGGAGACATCCTAACCAAATACTACCGGAAATACCAAACATTACAATAAATATGGTCAATTAACAACGGCAAATAGATATTTCATCTTTGACTAATAAAGCTTTGAAATTGTTGTTTACGCTCTTACAAATATGAACTGAGATATTAGTAAGACCCGAATGAGGACGCTGGCTGCTCACTCTCATTTTGAAGATGATATTTTTCTGCAAAAGTTGTGTTAAGTCAACCGGTTCTTTTGGATGAAAAGAAAAACATTTAATAAGAGAACGCAACACCTTTGGAAATTAGTTTTCACTCTCTGCTGATTCTTTCATTTACACCTTCGATACAAATCAATCGACATGACAATCTCACGATCTTCATAATACCGTCAACATTATGTAGTATCTTTAATATTTATTATCTTCTTACGAAACGAACATATCGCGAAGAACTAAGCAATCATGTTATTATCCATATCTTTTCTATATTTCGTTCTCGCTTTTGCCAGCCATGCTCTTGTACACAGCTTACACAGCTGGTTTATCATATGATGTTGACGCTAATTTCTTTGAAATTGGTATATGTAATATTTTATCACCGAAATTTCGAGCAACAGTTCGAAAGATTATCGGATGTTTTCGACGAGAAAAACACGCTGTTGTACCTCAAGCAATGCCAATCAATTGTTTGAGAGATTATCCTGGTGTTTATGTAACACGTACGGATTTATTTTGAAGAAAACAAATTAATGATTGTTCCTTTTACATCATCCTCTCATCTGTATCGTATTAAAAGGGTCTTTTCTTATATGTAATAAACAACTAGAAACTAAGAGAAAAGTTCTTTCACTTTTCATTGACATTTTGAAAGTATCAATTAACATCAAGTAGTAGAATGAAATCCCTTTTGCACGATCTATCTCTTGAAGTATTTCGACTTCAATTAACTTTATAAATAGTTCTAGAAATGAAAAACTGAATCATTTCGTGCTACGTTCGTCTACAGTTTCCTTTCTGTTTAATATTTATTCGCAGCATTTAATCATATATAATTAGTTCTTATTGCAGACCTGAGAGAATTTCCTCTGCAACTGAAATAGATAGTTCATATTAGTTTTTTGTGATATATGAGTTTCTGATGATATAGATTGGCATCGTAAGATAACCCTTCTTATAAATTTCTCTCATATAGTATTAAGTACACTTGAGATAGAGTTTTCCTACTAATGGAAAATCAGCGAAACTCAAATTGAAGTTGCGATTTTTGAGATCTAAAACTGCGCAATTTCGAGACAATGTTTCACTTCAACGTTTTTCACATAAGTAAATCATGTAATTATTCTCAACGAATCTCTGTGTTTATTTACTATTTCTCGTTCACAATATCTACAAGCCATTGCATGGTATACTTCGATTGCTTCATCCATATCCTTATCCAGCAGACGTAATGCAATCGCTTTACAATACATTAACTCATAATAATCAGGATCGATTTGTAGACCCTTGTTTGCATCGTAGATAATTTTTGCATATTCTTTCAACCAGTCATGCACGTTTGCACTTAACTCATCGAAGAAGATTGATTTGGAATATTTTTCTTTACAAGTTTCAAGAAAACGATCGACTATTCTATGTATCTTTCATGTACAAGTCTATTTTCTTGTTCTTCTGTTTAACCTTTCTGCAAAATGATGGGTAGCATCGAAAAGTATTCGAACTGTTTCTAAAGCATGATTTACATGTTCATTTAGTGTATCGTGTATTGATAGATGTAGACATATGATAGACTGGCTCTTCTGTAGATGCTTCCTGCAGGTGGTTTTACAGAATTTATGATACGTCTCATTGTTTCCAATGCTGTTAGAAAATTTGAAGGCGCGTGACCCATGAGTTTCTCTCCTTCAGTGAGCATCGCATTTGGATCACCCCTTGTAGATGATTTCTGTAGTAACTGTTCAGCTTTATCTAGATTTCTCTCCATACCGGCATCATTCATATACATCAGAGTTAAACGGTTTGCAGTACCTTCAGCATACTTGAGTCTCAGAGTGTGTTCAGACTTAGCTTATACACCGAGATTTAGTAAAAATAGGGATAGAGAGCTATATGTGATGACTGGACAGTAGCTTGTTCCTATAATGTAAGAGCTGCCTCATGATCTTTTTTCACACCTTCATTTATGTCAGTCAATCTGGCTGATTCGATAATAAAAATAAGTTTATTTCACATTCCTCAAAACCATTGCCAACCGACTAAATTTTTCGAAGTCTTTTATATATTCAGTTTTCACTATTCGTTTTGAAGTTGAACAACGCTATTTGCAGATATTGATTCGCTGTCCAATAAACGTTGTACGCCATTCTTTCGAATAGTACGATGAAGGTGTAATATAAAGAAAGAAACTCGTCAGTTGAGGAATAAATGTTGTAAAATAGGATCCAATTAAAACATATCGTAAATGATGACTTTGAATATTTTTACATTGCAGTGAAAATGAAGCAATAAAGAACGGTAATGAAAATATTTGAGGAATAAGAGTAAATGCTGGTGCTATAATTAATTCTTTTTTTTCAATTAATACATTGATGAATAAATGAAAACGATTTAATCTTTTCATTTGTGATTGTCGTACTTGTAAATCAATATCATTAATACTTTTACTTGAAATCTTGAAGTCAATATTAATATCACTTACATTTCTTTCGATATTTTTCGTTACCACACTATCATCTTCTTGACTATCTATGATTTTAGTATGTGTCAATGGATTATCTAAATTAACAAACGAATAATTCTCAAATGATCACATCAATATTTCATTCTCATTTCAACTTACCTGTGTGTTTTCTATGAATAATCATTTTGTTCTTTGTTGAAATGTAAATAATCATAATGGTACAACATAAATTAATAAGAAATGGCAGCAATGCATTGATAATAGTAACAACTTTATGTAGCATTTTCCACAAATGATTATCCAATGAAAAGTTCAATACACATATTGTACTGTTTTCCTCATTAACACGAACTTCCGATTGAATAAAAACAAGTTCATAAGCATTGGTGACTAAAATACACATTGTTATACAGATGATAAAACGTCGAGCAATGTATTTCTGTTTCAACCAATTTTTGTTTAAAAATAAGACAACGCAAACACGTTCGATTGCTATGAGTGAATTTAACCAATAAATAATACGAGTAGTCGAAGTTAACAGATAATTCGAGATTTTACAAATGAAATTATCGAATGTTGGATTAGAATACAAATGACATATGTTCAATGTTAAATGAATAAGACGAATAACAAGAATCGACAAATTCAATTGATTAATTAGAGTTATATATGATAAATACATTCCAATTCCATTACGACGACATTTTGGTCGACGAAATGTGACAAAACAACAGATATTATTGAATAAACCCAATAGAAATAGAAGACAAGGTGTGATAATAAGTGTATAGAATGTTATTTGTCGTATAATCGGTTTATAAGATAAAAGATCGTGAAAAAATAATTGATCAAGTGTAAAAGAAAATGATTCGAAATTAAATTCACATCTTTTTCCGGCATAACATACAGGACAAATACATAAAAACTCATTTTGCTCACCTTTTAAACAAACACCATTTGATAAACAATGAAAACAACGATCACGATCATTGTTATAACTAAAGCATTCGACACGACTATGATTTTCACCGCATATACACAGATAATTATCATCATAAAAACAGAATATACTATGATTATTACGACAAAGATAATGATATTCAAATACAGAGATTTCTATAATAAAAAAAACTCTCATAGAAATCTATATGAAACAGAATTTGAAGTAGAATTTACTTAATTGTGACATGGCACGATGAGATATGCATCGATTTTGTTCTGTTATTGATGTTGTTCCTTCAATCGAACTAACATTTAAATGCAATGAAATTATATAGATTTCACTCTGATGAAATCGAGTATAACGTTTAAGTAATATAATTTCGGGTGCATTTTGTTCATTATGTAGATAAAGTAATGAATCAGGAAGATATGAATAAACGCTTTGATTGACAAGAATAAGTTCAAATGAATTGAAATCAATATGATAATATTGAATAACAAATCCTTGATAATCTTGATCATCATTTCCTTTATTAATATATAAATGAATTGATTGTTTAGTTTGATTACAATTCGGTCCTGTGTATTCTGTAGTACATTCACAATTGTATTCATCAGGCGTTGATCCTTGATAAAATGTTCCACCATTTCGACATAGATTTTGTGATAAATGAAATAATCGACATTGATGACCAATATAATTCATCGGACAGATACAATAAGGTAATTGATTATCATTTATAATACCTCGATAAGTTGGTTTGCAAAGAGAATTTGATGAACAATAATTTGTATTACATATTGGATGAAAATCTGAACAATTTATACCGGAATAGTTACTTTTACAAAGACAAATATATTGTGAGTTTTGATTGAGAAGTTGAAAACATTCTTGATTTGGATTGCAAGAATGATTTTTACATGGATTTGGTTTTGTTAAATGAAGAACTTTCACGAAACGATAAACTGGTAGAAAATCAAAATAGATTGGATATTGCCAAACAGCAAATCGTTTTGGTTTTCGATTGAATTTTAGTTGATAAGCTTCAATACGAATTGAATATGGATGTTCATGAATAATATTTGATCGATTAAAATAACGTTTTTGTTTATGTTTAATTAATTCAGGAGATCGGGAATAATAGAAATACATTTGTCTTTTTTTATAAACATTCATTTCTACAACTGGTCGAACATGAAATTCATCGATATTCAAAACTTGATTTTCGAATAAGAAAATAATCAAGACTTTAATTAAAATAGTTCTATCAGTTGATGTTACATATATTGATTGAGTGAAATTCAAATGTAAAATAACATTTATTCGATCCGTATGATATTGACATTGATCACCGTGCTATTGAGGTGGACAAAAACATACTATCGAATTATTTGACATTAACATACCAATACCACGATTACACCAATAAGGAATAGGAATCGTATTTTTCGAAACAAAATTTGATGATTTAACATTCGATGTGTTGATAATTTTCGTAATATTTGTATTGTTAGGAAATTGTGATAGATAAACAATATGTTTCTTTGTTTTCAAAGAAAGTTCTTTTTGCTTTCGATAAATAATCTCTTGAAATTGTTTTCGATCGCACATATATTCATCTTCACCGTTAGAACAATCATATATATGATCACATTGACGATTCCATTCATATGAATTATTCAAACATTGAAAAAATATTAATCCAGGATCTTTTTCAGATACTTGATATGCATTACACCATAGAGCATCATCTTCATCGTGCAAACATCGATCTTGACAAATTTTTTCATAAGATATACAAGTATTACTTGATACACATTTAAAATCATATCCAAGTGAAGTACCTGATCGAGAACAATGTTCAAGAACATTACGTTCATCGTATCCACCTATACAATCGATTTGTCCATTGCCAATTAATTTGAAATCTATACAAGGTCTCATATTATTTGAATATTCGGATGTATTAATTGGTAAACATGGATATTCAATTGTTAAATTACAAATTTTATCAAATGGTTGTCGTGCGTATTGTTCTTGAAATTTTTCTTTGAAAGCAAAAGTTTCTCTATGATAATAATCAGAATGAAATATATTTTCTTCATCTGAAGCATCAGGACAATCCCATTCTCCATCTAATACCCAAAGAATGTCAATACAGTGTCCTGAGGAACATCTCCATTGTTCTTTTGAACATATCCATGCTAATTGACACATTGTTGTATTTTCATCTTCTTTCGATGCCAAATCCCAAAATGTATCACAATAAGATCGAAAAGGAATTTGTTTAGTTACTAAATTTTCTTGATTCGAATCATTTGTTACATTTAATTTCCAAGATAATTCAATATATCGACGAAATAGTTGACAATCATCTTTGAATTCGTGCGTACAATTCAATCTGGATAATAAAATATGAATACCCATCCAAGATTCATCATATTTATTTTTACAATGATATTTTCCGTCACCAAGCATATTTGCATATAGACAAGTTGTTTCATCTGTTGAACATCGAAAACGATGATATCGAGCAGTAGAACATGTTTTTAAAACGATTTCATTGTCTTCTTCTTCTTCATCGTTTCTATTAAGACAATTAGAAATTCCATCTCTGATTCTATAAGCGGAAACACATTGATTTTCTGAATGACAGATATCATAAACATTATAAGAACGATTGTTAAATGTTTTTGAATCATTGTAACAAAATTCATCATAACCTCCATCGGAAATAATCGATAGAAACGGTATTGATTGACATAATGTACTTTCAGCTTCTCGAAGATTTTCATAAAATGAGTATTTGGTTTTAAAAGAGAAATATTTCAGATGTCCACGACATTTGATTGTTCCATTAAGTGTCACAGACAACAGTAGTTTGGGTGGATTGTGTGACATATGAAATGATTCGAAAATATATGGTGCGATAATTCCACCGGGAGGATAGGAAATCGGAAATAAAGATAAACAGAATTTTTCAAGTAATATCACACAAGTTTTGTTAGCTTTACAAGAACAATCACTCATAATATGATCAAGAAATTGACATCCGATAAGATAATTACAATATTCATTCATAGTACGATTTTTCTCATCTAAAACTTTGTAACATTGGCCATTAGACAATGTTTTTAAGTTTCCTTTATCATTCATTTCACACATATAGAATTGATTGCGTTGATTTACACATGATAGAAAACTCTGTTCAGGATTTCGACCACCTAATCGATATTTGATACATTGTCCATCAGCACATGAAAATTGACCTGGTGGACATATCCGATCATCACAATAGAAATTGGCTAATTGATATGGACATTCCATATCATGAAAATGTTCTTTTTCATCTGACATATCCATACAATCAAAACTTCCATCAAGAAAATATTCATCAGGAATACACATACCATTCATACAACGATATTCGTCATTTTCACATTCATTGAATTCAATTTTATCACAATTTTCTTCATCATGTCCAAACATACATTGTTGTTCATTGTCACAAATATCCCTCCAATCGAGACATAGAAGACCATAATCACATTGTAAAGTGACATAACAAACTAAATCACCTCCATAGAGATTCATTGTTGAATTCGAAAAAAACTTTGCCACAATTGAATCATCAAATGTCGCACCATCGGCTAACAAATATTCACAATTCATTCCAAACGATCTTTGATGGATACATTCGCAAATATATTCGCTATCTTCATTCGATTGTATTGATTGACTTATGTAGTAAATATATTCTTCTACTTTATCAATACTCGATTTCCATTTATGTAATATCGTATTTATACTGATATTTTTCATCCATAAAGAATAGAATGAATGAATTATACCATTATGAGAACAATTCCATTCTTTTCTGTTTCGTTCTAAAGAAATAGGTTTCAGCGGACGACGACAATATGGAACAGATTGATAATAAATACAATCATAAAATTCAACTGATGGACTATTTCTTGCGTTATAAATGTAAATAGAACAATCGATACAAGATAGAAGAATTATGAAAAGAAACTTTTGAATAAATATAACTTGTGTCATCATCTCTTATAATATTAAACATCTATGACTGTAAGAGAAGAAAATTTGAGTTATTCTACATGAGTTAATAGAAAACAAGCACGTTCGGCAAAGTTATGATGAACATGATTTTTTTGAAATCTTAATCGTCAACTGAGATCAGAATACATCGTTAAAGGCGTGTATGTGATCTTTTTTAATTCTTTCTCAATTTAAAATAAAAGATTTAAGCAAAAAGAAATTTTGTACAAGGAGATATTTTTATTTCCACACTGAAGTTTTTCTGTATGTTGTCTACACCGGAACAATTAAATGACACCTACTCATTCGAAGACAGCATCATTTTAACATGGATATGAGCGCTCTAGGAATATCAACAGTAGCTTATATTAATGATTTCCGTGGTCCCACAGGTGTTTGAACATCACAAACCAACATTGACACATATGACTTTCGTCGAACTGATGAAAATGGATGTTGTCAGTTCTTAGTTTCTCAAACTGGAATACCAACAAACAAAATCGCCGAACTGCATGGAAATTGCAGTTATGAAGCTTGTGCAAAATGCGATTTAAGTTTATGTATGGGAACGTCGATGCGAGTTACACCGCCGATGTGAAGCTAACACAATGAAATAACGATTTATTCAAAAATTCCTCTAAGATAAATGCAGAAAGTTCGGATCCTATCCGAAAGTTAAATGGATTGCAAAAAGTATAAGAGAAAACATGGGAACATCCTGTAAGAAAAGACGGCGCTTTTCAATAACCTCCAAAAGTCTCAGCTGATTAGGCATATCGTTGAATATAACTGAGGTTTTGATGAAATCAAACTAGAAAATTACACAACGACCAGACTGTTTCTTTCAGATTTGTCATGTAAATGGATGATCAGTCTGCATATCGGACGCTCTGACTGATTATAGTAGTACACTCACCAGTAGGGGTACACATAAATTCTGTTTAGTTCGTCAACGGAACTGGAGCAAAAATACGTACGATACCATCGGACAAGATTCGACATTTTCTTCAGCGGATTCGTTTTACCGTAGGTTCCAATCATAGAAAATTTTCACCCTCACCCACACCCTCACCCACACACCCTCAAGAGCAGCGATGTCTTCTGGTTTTAGTATGGGTGCTTCAGGATTTTCAGGTGGTGGACACTTTTCTCCTATGAATTACGGATCAAATGCATCTTCTGGACTTCATTACAAAAAAGATGGTGGCTTGGATATGCGTTATAGTTCATCAAGANAAAGTCTCCGAACAAAAGAAAATATTCAAATTAGTATGAATATCAGCGAGTTCGATTCTCTGTTATTTATACGAGTTTACCATTTGTATACGGTTGGTGCGTCCTTTTCTTCATTGGAGAATAAATAAATAGAGGTCGTTCATTAACAGTCAATATAGAACCTTTCACAGAAGAAATATGTTTTCATGTTGAGAAATGCAAAAGAACAGAAGATGTTGATACGCCTATCCGAATTAGGCGCAATGTCTTTATATGATTTGGGCGATTGAAATTTGATTGTTATCCACAGAGCAGGAGAATAGTGGATATGAGTCGTATACAATGCCTCATAAAAATATCAATAAATTAAGTGATACGAACTGCGAAGGAAACGTCATGGGGGGACCGTTCGGAATGCTTCAACCGGATCCTGTCCTCAAGTTTTTACATGGTTGATTATGTTCGAATTCTCATACAATCATTCCGCTGCGTTTATAATATTTTTGAAAACAAACGACACGATGTTTCCTTCGTCGTTCTGTCTGTGCGCACAAATCATAATAAACCTTGCATGACAACGTTTCTTATTTTCTGCTGAGAGAGTAACAAATTAATTCGCAAAAGGACAATTTTGTACATCTAATATTGTTACATTTATTAGATTGTGTTCAAGACGTACGTAAATAACAAGCAGAGCAACCATTTTGGTTTCATTCAGGTATGTCTCAGTGTAGAAATATGTCGCTATATCACATTGTACTATTTCGTGTTCAAAATAATTTCAACAAACATTTCTGAATATCTATGATGTGCACAGTTAATATAACCCCATTTTATACTTTTTGTTATAAGATTTAAGATTTTCGTATCTCCTGAGATGATGCTTCGTTTCTCGAGTCGAATAGGTCGGCAGCGTTTTACACATGTTCCCAACAAGAAAAAAGAGATTATTTATTCTTTTCGTCAGTCGACACATTTCGTTTAGGTGTAAGGACGTGTCAACAAACCTGCTCTATTTTCTTTTTACATTATTTATCGAGCAAGCTAGGCGTGCGACAAAGATTGCCTACAAAAAGGTAGATTTTATCTCAAGTCCGTCTTTGTACAGAGACGATAATGTGAAAGAATAGATAGCGCCACTGTTCTACCCTAATTCGGTAGGAATTTCTGAGGCAATGGAAAAAATCATCATTTATCTATATGGGTGGGGGATTATTGTGTTTAAATTGGAGATTCCTAATATGCTTATACTCATGAAACTGATATTACTAATCCAATATACCTTCTATTTTTTCAGATATAATTATTGTCATCCAGACGACTTCAATTGTATATAAAGTATTTGAAACTATGTCTGACTATTATGTACTGAAAGCTAACCATTCTCAACGATATGATGCTGTGGATCGTCGAAGAAGAAGAAGTTCTACTCGTAAAGCTGAGAACAACATTATTCACTGTCCACATAGGTTAGACCCTGATTGCGAATGTGTACGAAATTCAGATATACCTAAAGATCGTCCACTGAGTGATAAACAAAAGAAAATAGGAACGGCGTCACTCATACGAAGTGAGATGGAAAGACTTAAGGTATATGACAAACCACGATATAGTGCGCTTACCAACATTATCAAAAGTCCTGAACACGAAAAAGATAAACACATTGAACGTTACGAAGAAAAATATGGCTCTTTGCTATCGGAAAATATCCTAGACTTCATGAACTCTGATCAATATAGAGGTAAGTACATATACTTTTCCATACGTTTCTTCACTTCAAATTTTGTGCTTTGCAAAAAAAGAATTTTTCGTGGCAAACGTGTACATCTGCATTTTATTTTAGATTCCAAACAGATGACAATGAATGGTACAGTAACGTGGTTTCATCCTCGGAAAGGCTTTGGCTTTATCACTCCAGATAACGGTGACGAGGATGTTTTTGTACACTTTTCTGATATTCAAGTCAGCGGATTTAAAACCTTGAGTGAAGGACAAAAGGTTTCCTTCGACAAAAANTCAATATGTGATAAGAAAATCGAATATTTTTGCATCACTAGTCAGTATGTCAAGAATCAGAATACGTCACGGCCATGTATCTTTTGGAGTCAAGTAGGTGATGGGCACATCGATTGTATGGGAGCTCGCGATGAACGCAATGTGTTATCGTGTCCAGTTGACCATCGAATGGTTGGTGACCGATTTCTATGCGATAAGCAAACAAAATGTATCGACTATCTGCTGATTTGCAACGGAATCAAGGATTGTGTAGATGGAACAGATGAATCAATATGTTACTGGAATATCAGCAATTGTTTACGCGGAACTTTTCCTTGCGCGGATGAATCAGGATGTAAAAGCACTAGATGTAAAACAAGTCTGGGATGCAATGATAAATCTCACCGATTTTGGTGTCCAAATCCAAACAATGGTAATGCAGTATATCGCTCACAAAAATATAGGACAATTTTCGATGATAAAAGTAGATGCTATGATCAATCTTACTCACAAGCAAAACATATAATTGCACCGCGTTCTACAGGTCATTATATCGGGAATCGCATAGCAGAGTCCCCCATTTACTACATGTACTGTAATAAAGGGTTTTATCTAGAAAGAGATCGTAGGTCAGACCTGACATGCTTTTGCCCTCCCAGTTTGTATGGCGATCGCTGTCAATACGACAGTCGACGAGTCACCATTCGCATTCGTTTGGACCGATGGCATCGACCTGATATTCCAATCATTCTTGACGTTCTGTTCATACTTCTACTAAACGATAGTCAAATCGTAGATCATCACGTTCTCACTGATGAAAACAAAGAGTATCCATCGAAGAACGATATTTATTTAGTTTATCCTCGCCCAAAACCGCCAGGTATTTACACCCTACGAATAGAGATCTATCATTCTGCCGATTTTCTCCATTTCTGGGAATATCCAATTAGCCCGCTGGACTTCTTACCCGTATTTCGTATCGCGAAAGTGCTTCGATTTCCTGACCGCTCACTTCCATGGCATTGTTCGTATAACCGCTGTGAGAATAACGGGACTTGTTATCAAGCAGAAGGGAACCGATTTCTTTGTATTTGTCCACGCTCCTGGAAGGGCAAATTCTGTGATATCAAGATGAATCGAACTGGTTGTGCATCGAATTCTCTCGCACGAGCTGAAAATGTTTGTGTTTGTTCACATGGTTATATGCAACCTCACTGTTTCGTACAGAACCACAAATGCCGACGAGTGACATGCAGATTGAACGAAACGTGTGTTCCACGGTCTGACCTTCCTGCCTATAGGCACACGTGTATTTGCAACGTGACTAACTGTAAACCCGATCGACCGGTTATTGTATTAAATCGTCGAGAACCGAACGAATTACCATTTCTTGTCCAACTGCTTCAATTAACAGGTAATTATCCTACTATCCGTCATCAAATCCTCATTCCGCCATTTACATCATTTCCATGGATCAAAACCATCAAAACTCGAGATAAGCGCGATTATGTTGGAACCCTGCCAGAGATTGGCTTACTCTATTCGTTTGAATCTTATGCAGATTCAGTACGAAATACTTTATATTTACTTTTCATCAACTGCACGAATAATATACGAAACTTTACAGTCGATTTGGATCTACAAGCGCAAAAATGTCATGAATTTTCTATGGAAGAGCAGCATTTTGTCGCAGTATTCCCAGAATTTTGCCACAATTTTACTTACGGCGTTTGTTTTGCATATGACGGTTACTTATGCTATTGTAATTATTCCAATGGCAATCAGAGCAACTGCCTATCGTACCAACGAAGATACATAACTTGTGATTACTGTCAGAACGAAGGACACTGTGTTCAGGGTGACCTGACAAATAAAACTGACTTCATTTGTGTATGTCCGAAATGTGTCACAGGAGTCCTATGCCAATTTTCACTGAGTCGTTTCTCAATTTCACTGGAATTTTTATTTGAAAAGAACGATTGGAATCGTGGCCATTTCATAGCACCAGTCATTCTATTTATTCTCGGCATGATCCTTAACTCTTTGTCGCTTATCACTTTCACACATAAGAAACTTCGCACAAGTGGAGTGGTCGTTAAACTTCTAGCAACTTCTTTATGCGGTCTTCTGGTGGTAATATTATTGCTTGCAAGAATAACTTATCTCTACATGGTACGAAAGATCATCATGTTGCACCGAATAAGTATCATAATGTGCAAAGCTCTGCCCATGCTCATGTATACTTTCTATTATACTACTCTATGGTTAATGACGACGGTGACAGTGGAAAGAGCATTGGCTACATTACAATCCTCCCTATGGTCGCGACTACAAGAGTTCAAAGTATCCATTTCTTTGGTGTTGCTAATTATTTTCATTGTTTCAAGTTCGAATTACATATTCATCAGCCAATACGAGCTGGTCAATCACCCCGATTACATCTTTCCTTGGTGTATACGTGAAATTCCGCTCAATCAGCAACTGTTCACGCACATACTGACTCTGTTTCACCAAATAATACCGTTTCTAATCAATATCATAGCTGCATTGATTATCATTGTAATGATCACTCGATCGAAGATGCATGCTTATCGGAAAACTAAAGGTAGTGCTCTGATGGATCAAACACGAAAGCGATTTGATCTTCTTCTGAGTCCGATAGTTTGTTTCCTAGCACAATTACCTGAGATAATAATTCTTTTCTTAAATGCCTGTGACTACGATACTAGCACCTGGTTCTCACAAGTTAATCTATGTATTTACTATGTCTCATTCTTTCCACAGATGAGTATTTTCTTTTTGTATATTACACCATCGAAACAGTACTATGATGTATTTATCAAGGAAACTCTACTGGGCAAACGTGTATTCCACATGCTATATTTGCCGATTGTTCTTTCCAGACCAACAAATACGTGACTACAAAGTGTGAATGTGTGTATCTTTCTCACTTCTAGATTAAAGAAAGATTGCAAGATAGAAAAATAATCTTCTGGATGAAATGAAATAATGAATTTCAAAGATTGTCCCCTTCTGTAAACTGTGGCGATCTCCTATAGAGTGTTCTCTATCTTTCAGTGTAACAGTCTCACAAAAGCATTCACATTTCTTCACAGTACAAGCTTCAGTTAGTATTTTTGCGTCATATTTAGCTTAAAATTGTGGTCGAACGACTGCAGGCTATTCAAAGTTGGCCATTCACAGAAGTGTTCTGATTTTATAACGCATACTTTCCGTGCAGACCTTTAGAACACCTTTTAAAAATGTAATATTGACTTTTATCTTTCACATCGCTTCAATAAATATCTTTTGTACTTCAATCAAGTAATGCCTATTCTCTCTACCAGTAAAACGATCGGCAACTGAGAAGCAAAAGTTAGAATTAGCAGATTATGGAAGTCCTTTATTCAATAGAAAAGAACTCAGTCTGTTGTCAGTTCATTGATACTTTTAGTCACGTCCACACTCTCAAGCTGCTCTTGTTTGTGGAGTCATTATTGGCAAGTTGATGTCGTTTGCACTATCAAACTGTGTTAGTTTAATTTTCAAACTTCCACCGGCAATTCGACCTGAATTAGCTAGTCGAGCAACAACGTCAACGACATGTGTACCTGCAGATAAATAAATCCAATCTATTTTCGAACATGGAAATGCTGCTTCAGCCGTGTTCGCATTGCTATGCAGCGAAGTGCCATCCATGAGAGTATCATTCGCCATGTTAGGCACAAGAGAATTGCCCATGATCAAGTTTCCATCAACTCGTATACGTAAAAACAACCAGCTCCGTTGGCTGTCAATGCGACATTCGCCATGAAAATGAATTTCGTATAGCATTGGCGTTTGGTGATGGAACGATAAAACAAGACCGGGCACTTGAACAAATNCCCGACAGCAAACTATCTGATAGAGCCGACACTCAGACTAGCTACAGGATCCAGACACGCGTCCCCCCCCCCCCCCCCCCCCCCCAACAAATTTGAAGCGATTTCTGTCAGAAATCTGAAAAACAATAAGAATTCGCCAGACATTAATCGTTCTGCCCAATTTTGGCTGGTTAAATATGGATTGGGTATTTTAGGCTATTGTTTGTGATATAAGGTAATAGGCCATATCCGCTTGAGTCGTGTGTTGTGCAGAGAAATATCTGACATGACAGAGGAAATATCTGCTGGAGAAAACGGTTTCTATCAGAAATCGCTCAACGATTTCAGCCGGTTTCTGTTGCAGAAAAGAGCGATATCTGCAGGTAATAGGCGATATCCGGTGGAGTCCTTAGTTGTTTGGGTAGGTGGCTGTTGAGAAATTGTATGGGTGAGCAGTATCTGTGAGAAATCGATCGATATGGTGAAATATTAGGAAACCGTTAAGCCCTCTTGGTTAAACAGTCCTACTAATGATATTAAAGGTTCATGGCTTTTCAAATATGCCGTGATACGCGATATGCAAACAATGGACAAGTTTCATTTCATCTCACAGCAGTGGTTCGTCATCGAGAACCAGCATTGATCGGTAAAACCAACAAGTCTTATTTCCTCGGAAAAGAATTTCTTCTTTCAAGATCGAGTATATCTTTCCTGTGGTAAACAACTCACAGAAACATCGATTCAGCTTGAAGATTTCTCATAATGTTTACCATGACATATTCAACGATTATTTATAGTTCTCGATCTTTTCGCAATTTCGTTCGAATAATTTCACACGTGTTCAACGATGTACATGCTGTTTTGTTCTTCTTTTTACTGGGATGTTACTTAATATTTTATATTATGATCTAACCAGTGAGTCGAATATTGACACGAAACAGAATGGTTTATCGATTGGTCCATTTTACTTCAGTCGAGAACAGGTTTGTCACGATATTCAGTGGGCTGGAGAGAATAGTTTTTCGTTTAGGTTAGTGTAGGAGTGATCACTGATATACTTCTCTTCATTCCGAGTATATTTCTCGTTATCTTCTTTCGAAAAATCGGTACACGTGTTTCTTTGAGCAAAATCTATCGTATGACTCAAGTTTTGCCGCAATCGAAAGAGAGAAACACAAAGTTGTTACCATGGTAGTGTTTGTCTATTACCTATGGTTTCTCATTTATAATGATTGCTATCTCAATTGTGTTGACTATTGCACGTGCTATTGAATTTGGCGATGTTAAAGTTTGAAAATGGCTTGCGTCACTGCTAATGGGCTTCTTTTCATCGGTTTTTCTTACTGAAACGTTCAAAAAGAGTATTACACGAATGGTCAAGGATTTTTTGACAATATATATTTGATTAGGTGGTTAGTTTGACTGTCTTCGTTCTGCTGATAAATCGTCGGAGAAATGCTCACAAGAACACGGTTGAGTATATCGATAAGGACAAGAACTTTTACTTAAATGGTTATTTCGAGAAGGATCCATCCATAACACAAATGGTTGAAATGAGAAATTTGCGGGTTGGAATGCTCGACTAAGTTTCGCAGGTAGGAAGTCAAATCGATTTCTTTCCAATAACATTGCTGTTTAGATGAATGTGTGTCTTGTCAAAGATCATCAATGACTGAAGGAATCGAGCAGAAAGCAGTATCAAAACCGGCGTTGACTTCTGACTGCTTTTTTGAACATTTGGAAGACTAATTGAACATCTCTCAAACTCGAAAGTTTTTCAAAACATGCGTCATGATTTATTTTCTTCGTTTATTTAACCGAGCAGATGTTTTTCTAACAGATGCTCGTCAACTGTGAGGCCTATATGTAATGATTGTGAATTTCTTTTTCATTGTAATTACATAATTTCATTTCTCTACAAAAAAATATAACGTCGCAGGTTCTTTTCATATCATTGTGCAATTTTGATGAGTCATCGTTTTAGTTTTCTGCTTATCGCCCTATATAAAGGACTTCATTCAATCGAGAAAACAGTGAGAGCATACGTACGGTAAGTCTTCTTTTTTTCAAATTCAAATGGCACATACTGCACTTGACGAGGAAGAAATCATCGAATATTTCGATACACCGGGTATATCGCAAGTTTTGTCCAATTCTTCTTTTTCTATGATACTATGTGCATAGATGAGCTCGAGCGGAAAGTCAAAACTCTAGCAGATTTTATTCGAAATGCCAAACATTTTATTGTCTATACTGGAGCAGGTAAATGACATCTACTCATTCGAAGACAGCACCATTTTAACATGGATAGGAGTACTCTAGGTATATCGACGGCAGCTGGTATTAATGATTTTCGTGGTCCTACAGGTGTTTGGACATCACGAGCAAAAGGAGTTGCACCACCACCACGAACTGTTCAACATCCCGAACCAACATTGACACATATGGCCCTGGTCGAACTAATGAGAAATGGATATCTGAAATTCTTAGTTTCTCAAAACTGCGATGGCCTTCATTTGAAAAGTGGAATACCAACAAACAATATTGCTGAACTTCATGGAAACTCGAACTGTGAAGCTTGTGCAAAATGTGGAAAGGTCTACTATAGGCAAACACGTGTAAAATCAGTTACGGATAAAACTCGTTTGACCGGAAATATTTGTACAACATCAAATTGCAATGGACGTTTACGCAAGACAACCGTTGCATTTTCTCAATCGATGCCTGATGTTTGTATCGATCGAGCAACTGAAGAGTCGAAAAAATGTGATTTAAGTTTATGTATGGGAACGTCGATGCGAGTTTCGCCTGCATGTGAGCTTCCATCGATGAAATCGAAGTCCAGAAACAAGAAGATGGTTATCGTTAGTGAGTCAAATTTCTTTTTCTTTATCTTTTCTATTTACCTCTCACCTTTCGAACAAAGACTTACAAAAAACACCTTACGATGATCAATATGCATTGAGAATATTTGCACGGTGTGATGATGTCATGAAGATGGTCATGGAAGAACTGAATTTAGTGATTCCACCTTATACTGATTTACAGTTATGGTCGAATACAGAATGGTTGGCAGATTTCGAACGCAATTGGCCTTTTCGGTAAGTGATGAGATGAGAAAGGAAAAGGGTATCGTTATAAAGTATAATGTTATTTCAGAACTGCCGGTGAAACAGACTGGTTCTCAGGAGATATTTAAATCAATGTCAGCATGTGACATGTTAAGGTTCTTCGGATAATAAAGATTGAATGGTTTTATTTTCACGTGAGAGAAAAGCAAATGACACTCTAAAGAATGGTTTAAGTTCGAAATATGGAAGGAAAGTCATTAAATATTGAAGTTTATCTTTTCATGATCTTTTTCACTCGTTGTTTGTGTCGTATTCGTGCTCTAAGTTTTGCTGGATTGAATGTATTCGATAGTTTTGTAAATATCGCAAAGATCGCTAAAACTTGTACCGGCATCATAGCAGCTAAGAAAACAGCGTTCATGATGGCAATTGGCTGAAGACAAATTTTTTCCTACGAGGAAATTTGTGTGAAAAATGAGTTGCATAGGAAATGACTTACGATATCTTTTGGATATAAAACTGCGACAGTTGATTCAGTCGTCAAAGCAGGTGAAGTCGATGTAGGTGTGGTCGGAGCTAAACGAAGAGATATTTTGTATATGAAAATTGAAAACAGTGTCTCCTACCAGGTGTTGTGGATGGTGTAGTAGTTGAAGTTGTTGACGTTGTGGTGGGTGGAATTGTAGTTGTTATAACAATTCCGGTGGTTGTTAACTAGTCAAAGTGTTGTCATGAGTATAGATGAGTAGAAGTGAGAAGAAATTTTACTAATGTGTTGATACTTGTTGTCGATGTTGGCTTTGTAGTGACCGTGACAGTTGTAAATGGTGTTGTCGTTGTTGTTGTTGTGGACGAAAGCGCTGGATTCCAAATGTTAAAAACCCAAAATGTGGGATCACTGATGGGTGCAGATTCAGGACCTTGAATGAAAGTCAGTTTCCTTGTTGATTTTCTCTCTTTCTCATATTCTGTTAGTTGCTACTTACCACAAAACTCAGTACCACTGGCCACACCTAAATATGATATGCAATGCAAAGTAGAAAGGAGAAAAAGAAGACATACCACTGTCCATGTTAACATAGTAGAAAGCACCAGCCTCCCATGGTGCAACAGGAAAACGAATGACAATAGTGTAACCAGTATATGTCACTTCTGGCTCCCATCCACAGTCATATTTTTGAACAAGAGTGCCGTTAGCAAAGTAAAAGTAGATATATGTACCATTACGAGTAGGACGGTTGACGGAAATTGATGCTACGATGAAAGGAAAGAAGATGATCTGTCATTCTCTCGTTACGCCAAGAATAAACCTCACTTTGAATGGAAAAAGTGGTCTGATTTTGAAAGACAGTACCAATAGGTGAAGCTGAACCTTGAACCAGTTTTGGTCGAATGACATCAGGTGATTTGAATCCAACCAAAAAGGTGATGCACCATTGATTTGTCTGAATATTTGTGTTATCAACAGCTCCAAAACAGACAGCTTGTGGTCCGTATTGATCAGAAACAGGGATCCAGCTGAGAATGACATTATAGATACCTACAGTTGACATCGGAAATCAGACAAATTCAAGATGAACGAAATTTACTGACCTGTACTTGGATTCAAAATAGCGCTTTTTGTCATACCAGCAGGTACACTAGAAACGTATTCGGTTATACTCTTTCCCGTACAATACACCTGAATGACGACAACTTCAGTGACGTTGTCACCAACCAATACACCGATGCAGGCTTTAGAAAGAAAACGAAGTGAAATCGAAAGATTTATTCATTACAAGTTCGGCTTTACCTCGGTTGGGTCGATTACCAATAATGGCTGGTGGTGTTGTACAGCCACCAGGATTGGCATAACCATAGAAAAGAAACTGAAGGGGGACTGAACTCATTGGCGTGTTAGCTGTCACTGCTGCAGCATTATAAAAGTCTTCAATTTGTAATGCTGCTGCAACATACCAACCAGCAGTATACAAGGTGAATATAATCGTACAGTTTTCCCCAATGAGATTAGCACCAGTTATACCGCTGCAGACATCTGCACACTCATCATATTGAGTAATTGCAGTCGTTGCTTTGATTGACCATCGACATTTCAGTGTATCAGTACCATCGAAATCAGACATTTGAACAACATGAACATGCTGTATGTTGATCTCTTTGTATAAAATAGGTAGACTGACAGCGATAGGACTAGTGTTCAAATAGCCATCCGGTCTAACTATAGTACTAATCCGAGCAACAACCGACCAACTCCCATCGTGTCCAATGACAAGATAGGAGAACCAAGCACCTCCAGTGAAGCCAAGACTGAAGGAGACATTCAATGGTATATTGTATGTTTGATAATATTCACCTGAAGCAACATCTAGAGGAGCACTGAAATCAGTGCAGTATGTCGCTATCGTCATGCCAGGCCAAGAAGGACAGTAACTACCAGACACACAAGTCAACGTACCCCCACCGATCGTAGGAGATTTTGCAGCAATGGTAGCAGGCGAACATACCGGACTTGATGAACTACGACGCCATGACCATCGTTCTCGTACGATAAGAGGAACTGCACTGCCTGATGGCGTATTATTGAATGGACGGCTAGAACAGATATCTCTAGTATAAAACTAGATAAGAATACAGATAACTTACTATGTTATTGTTCCACCACGAAAATGAGACGAATTGATGATTGAAATGTATGACAATAAGCAGACGAAAAGAAATTTCACAATCGTCATCTGCAGCACCAAGATCGAGACGAATAAAATGAAACGTCGCTCGCACTAATCGTTTGCTTTATATGTCGGTTTTCTTAATCAAAAAGAAAATAAAGTACAATGTTTGGCTAAACTTTTCTGTTAAAAAGACATTTTTTGCGCCTGTAAAATGAAAGTTCTCGATAATATTTTCACTCGAACTAATCGACTGTGTGTGTACAAAGAGAAAAGAGCACTTTAACATAGCGACGAACGAATTTGTCTTGTTGAGAGCAGAAGGCTAATATGTAAGTATCTCAAGCGAGTGCATTTAGAAAGAAAACAAAAATCCATCTTCCTCTGTTATTTTCATCATTACAACCACTTCTGATTCCAGTTTTGTTAAGTAGAAGAAGAATAAGTCAGGAGTGCTTAGAAACATTTGCAACAATTGACTATTTTCGATGCAAGAAAAACACAATATGTTCAGAAACATTTACAAAAACACTGCAGAACGAAAGAAAAAATCACTCGAAATTTCTTGTGAATTGTTATTAAAGTTTATCCGAAGGGTAAAATAATCATAATGTCTACGTTATTCTCGTGTGGAATTTATAGCCAGAGGAATTCAATTAGATAAGTATTATAGACTTAGACAGTGGTGTGGGTAAAAAGATTGCTTTGCTTTAATTTCGTAATCGATGTTTTAGACTGGAAGACCGATCTTATTTCAAATGACATTCGCATGAAAGTGTTGTTTTATTCAGCTCAGTTTTTTGTTAACTAAGTATTCTTGTATCGAATGAATATCCAATCATAAATGATCTCGTGATGATTTATCATTCAAAACAGAACATAACAACAGAAACATAGAAGATTTATTATTAGGAAAAACGAAACAAAATCTAAAATTTGTAAGTAGTGATAATATGATGATTTCCAAGTTCTTCTGGAACGAATAACTCAGATAAATGCTCTTATTCCTACCGTGGTATCTATTCAAGATAGAGCAGAATTTATCCATTATCACTCATCTCACACTGCATCATCAGTTTCATTACCTGATTTAACAAAAGATTATTGTTCTTGGACGTCCATCTTTAATATTTTTTAATAAACCTGAGGAGAAGATCGGTTTTTTTGCCTACCAGACTTAACCTTAATAAACCAACGCTCAGTATTACAATTAAAATTCAACTAATTGATTTTCAAATCTATAAAATCACTCACTTTAAGGTTATATTAGTAAATTCTTTCTATTACAGTACCAAACTAATCACCATTCAAACTTGCCTCACACGAGTTATACTATCTGAATAATATTGTTTCTCCACAATGTCCAATATGAATACTATGAATTCTGTGAAATCTAACTGTACATAGGAAATGTACGTGATATTTTATGGATGAATTCTATAGAATGGAAACGTTTATTGTTTAGAATCAATGCTAGACAATTGGTATTCTCCATAATTTCAGTGAGCTTCAATCTGAGAACATAACTTTTTCTCCAAACTCAGTATTATGATCCAAAAGAACTCATATAGTAACCGATATAGCTTTTATACATCCGACTTGCTCCGAGATGAGAAAATATTAATTTCGAAGTTTTTTTATATTGCACGACGTTAATTAACTTACACTTTCTTTGTAATAAAATATAATCGTATCCCTACGATGTAGTCCTCAAGCACAGATATTCAATTAACTTCAACAACTCTCGACATGTTAAAACAGGAGGGTTGTCTTTTTCTTCATTTTCTTTAGAAACGTATAGCTTCACAAAAGTTTAAACGTCAGACATGTCAACATCTTCGATCTCATTTTATACATATCTATCTCAACAAATTACAATCTATTCATGTATTCCAACTCTTATACTTGGTGTTCTCGGTGGATTATTAAGCCTCATCGTATTTTTAAGTCTTCGAACATTTCGAGAAAGTTCCTGTGCCTTCTATTTGATAGTTATGTCATTGGCTAATCTCATTCATTTACTTGTGTGGTTACCCGGTTATATTATAATAAATGGATTTGGATATGATTGGAGTGTTCATTCCGCATTCTTGTGCAAAAGTCGATTTTATTTTTTTCAANAGATTTGGTAAAAATGAAGATAGAGAGCTATGTGATGACTGGTCAGCAGCTTGTTCATATAATTTACGAGCTGTCGCACGATCTTCTTTCGCACCTTAATTTAGATCAGCCAACCTGACTGATTCGATAATATAAAAAAACAGTTTAGTTTACACTATTAGTTTTGGAGTTTAACATCACTATTTGCAGATATTAATTCGTTGTCCAATAAACGTTGTACGCCATTCTTTCGAATAATACGATGATGGTGCAATATAAAGAAAGAAACTCGTCAGTTGAGGAATAAATGTTGTAAAATAGGATCCAATTAAAACATATCGTAAATGATGACTTTGAATATTTTTACATTGAAGTGAAAATGAAGCAATAAAGAATGGTAATGAAAATATTTGAGGAATAAGAGTAAATGCTGGTGCTATAATTAACTCTTTTTTTTCGATTAATACATTAATTAATAAATGAAAACGATTTGATGTTTTCATTTGTGATCGTCGTGTGTGTAAATCAATATCATTGATATTTTGACTTGAACGATTGAAATCAATATTAATATCATTTTCATTTCTTTCGATATTTCTCATAACAACACTATCATCTTCTTGACTATCAATGATTTTAGTATTTGTCAATTGATTATCTAAATTAATAAACGAATAATTCTAAAATGATCATCAATATTTCTTTCTCATTTCAATTTACCTGTGTGTTTTCTATGAATATTCATTTTGTTCTTTGTTGAAATGTATATAATCATAATAGTACAACATAAATTAATAAGAAATGGTAGCAATGCATTGATAATAGTAACAATTTTATGTAAAATTTTCCATAAATGATTATTTAATGAAAAGTTTAATACACATACTGTACTGTTTTCCTCATTAACACGAATTTCCGATTGAATAAAAACAAGTTCATAAGCATTGATGACTAAAATACACATTGTTATACATATGATAAAACGTCGAGCAATGTATTTCTGTTTCAACCAATTTTTGTTTAAAAATAAAACAACACAAACACGTTCGATTGCTATGAGTGAATTTAACCAATAAATAATACGAGTAGTCGAAGATAACAAATAATTCGAGATTTTACAAATGAAATTATCGAATATTGGATTAGAATAGAAATCAGATATATTCAATGTTAAATGAATAAGACGAATAACAAGAATCGACAAGTTTAATTGATTAATTAAAGTTATATATGATAAATACATTCCAATTCCGTTACGACGACATTTTGGTCGACGAAATGTAAGAAAACAACAGATATTATTGAATAAACCCAATAGAAATAGAAGGCAAGGTGTGATAACAAGTGTGTAGAATGTTATTTGTCGTATAATTGGTTTATAAGATAAAAGATCGTGAAAAAATAATTGATCAAGTGTAAAAGAAAATGATTCAAAATTAAATTGACATCTTTTTCCTGCATAACATACAGGACAAATACATAAAAATTCATTTTGCTCACCTTTTAAACAAACACCATTGGATAAACAATGAAAACAACGATCACGAGCATTGTTATAACTAAAACATTCGACACGAATATGATTTTCATCACATATACATAGATAATTATCATCATAAAAACAGAATAGACTATGATTATTACGACAAAGATAATGATATTCAAATACAGAAATTTCTATTCAAAAAACAAAACTCTCATTGAAATCTAGATGAAATATAAACTGAAGTAGAATTTACTTAATTGTGACATGGAACGATGAGATAAGCATCGATTTTGTTCTGTTATTGATGTTGTACCTTCAATCGAACTAACATTTAAATGCAATGAAATTATATAGATTTCACTCTGATGAAATCGATTATAACGTTTAAGTAATATAATTTCAGGTGCATTTTGTTCGTTATGTAAATAAAGTAATGAATCAGGAAGATATGAATAAACACTTTGATTGACAAGAATAAGTTCAAATGAATTGAAATCAATATGATAATATTGAATAACAAATCCTTGATAATCTTGATCATCATTTACTTTATTAATATATAAACGAATTGATTGTTTCGTTTGATTACAATTTGGTCCTGTGTATTCTGAAGTACATTCACAATTGTATTCATCAGGTGTTGATCCTTGATAAAATGTTCCACCATTTCTACATAGATTTTGTGATATATGAAATAATCGACATTGATGACCAAAAGAATTCATCGGACAGATACAATAAGGTAATTCATTATCATTTATAAGACCTCGATAAGTTGGTTTGCAAAGAGAATTTGATGAACAATAACTTGTATTACATATTGGATGAAAATCTGAACAATTTATACCTGAATAGTTACTTTTACAAAGACAAATATATTGTGATTTTTGATTGAGAAGTTGAAAACATTCTTGATTTGAATTGCAAGAATGATCTTTACATGGATTTGGTTTTGTTAAATGAAGAACTTTTACGAAACGATAAACTGGTAAAAAATCAAAATAGATTGAATATTGCCAAACAGCAAATCGTTTTGGTTTTCGATTGAATTTCAGTTGATAAGCTTCAATACGAATTGAATATGGATGTTCATTAATAATATTTGATCGATTAAAATAACGTTTTTGTTTATGTTTAATTAATTCAGGAGATCGAGAATAATAAAAATACATTTGTCGTTTTTTATAAACATTCATTTCTACAACTGGTCGAACATGAAATTCATCAATATTCAAAACTTGATTTTCGAATAAGAAAATAATCAAAACTTTAATTAAAATAGTTCTATCAATTGATGTTACATATATTGATTGAGTGAAATTTAAATGTAAAATAACACTTATTCGATCTGTATGATATTGACATTGATCACCGTGATATTGAGGTGGACAAAAACATACTATCGAATTATTTGACATTAACATACCAATACCACGATTACACCAATAAGGAATATAAATAGTATTTTTCGAAACCAAATTTGATGATTTAACATTCAATGTGTTGATAATTTTCTTAATATTTGTATCGTTAGGAAATTGTGGTAGATGAACAATATGTTTCTTTGTTTTCAAAGAAAGTTCTTTTTGCTTTCGATAAATAATCTCTTGAAATTGTTTTCGATCGCACATATATTCATCTTCACCATTAGAACAATCATATATATGATCACATTGACGATTCCATTCATATGAATTATTCAAACATTGAAAAAATACTAACTCAGGATCTTTGTCAGATATTTGATATGCATTACACCATAGAGCATCATCTTCATCGTGTAAACATCGATCTTTACAAATTTTTTCATAAGATATACAAGTATTACTTGATACACACTTAAAATCATATCCAAGTGAAGTACCTGATCGAGAACAATGTTCAAGAACATTACGTTCATCGTATCCACCTATACAATCGATTTGTCCATTACCAATTAATTTGAAATCTATACAAGGTCTCATATTATTTGAATATTCGGATATATTAATTGGTAAACATGGATATTCAATTGTTAAATTACAAATATTATCAAATGGTTGTCGTGCATATTGATCTTGAAATTTTTCTTTGAAATCAAAAGTTTCTTTATGATAAGAATCAGAATGAAATATATTTTCTTCATCTGAAGCATCCGGACAATCCCATTCTCCATCTAATACCCAAAGAATGTCAATACATTGTCCTGAAGAACATCTCCATTGTTCTTTTGGACATATCCATACTAATCGACACATTGTTATATTTTCATCTTCTTTCGATGCCAAATCCCAAAATGTATCACAATAAGATCGAAAAGGAATTTGTTTAGTTACTAAATTTTCTCGATTAGAATCATTTGTTACATTTAATTTCCAAGATAATTCAATATATCGACGAAATAATTGACAATCATCTTTGAATTGATGCGTACAATTTAATCTGGATAATAAAATATGAATACCCATCCAAGATTCATCATATTTATTTTTACAATGATATTTGCCGTCACCAAGCATATTTGCATATAGACAAGTGGTTTCATCTGTTGAACATCGAAAGCGATGATATCGAGCAGTAGAACATGTTTTTAAAACGATTTCATTGTCTTCTTCTTCTTCTTCATCGTTTCTATTAAGACAATTATAAATTCCATCTCGGATTCTATAAGCGGAAATACATCGATTTTCTGAATGACAGATATCATAAACATTATAAGAACGATTGTTAAATGTTTTCGAATCATTGTAACAAAATTCATCATAACCTCCATCGGAAATAATCGATAGAAACGGTATTGATTGACATAATGTACTCTCAGCTTCTCGAAGATTTTCATAAAATGAGTATTTAGTTTTAAAAGAGAAATATT